GCGGGAGAGGCGGCGGGCCCACGGGCCCACCTCCCGGAAAACGCCCCTGAGCTTGTTCCGCGCTTTGGGTTTGAAACGAGGTGGGTGCGAGGGCCCGTGACACGCCACGGCTGCGGGTGGCGGCCGTTTTGACCGCCCTCCAGGGAGGTGTGCCTGGCGGGGGTGCGGGGTGCGAGGCCAGGGAGTGTGCCCTCCGACCGGACAAGATGGGGAGGTGGTCGTCGGACGGCGTGTTCAGGCCGCTGTGTGCGGAGTCGGGGACCTGTGCGCACCCGAACCGTGGGGTTCTGATTACCCCCGGTAATTAGGAGTCAATGAGACCGTTCGTGCAGAGCACCCCGGACTTGTAGGAGCTCTCCCACTGAAATGAAGCTGAGCGGAGGCCCTTCCGTGTCATTGTCCACTGAAACAGGTCCACCCTCAGACTCCACTGCCCCCAATGGCGGGTTTCTGTATCAGTTCATGAAGGCTAGTTCTAACACAAAATAATTTGGCCAGTCAAAAATGGCGAACTGAACCCCCCCCCAAAAAAAAAAAGATCCTGGGCATGTTCAGAGGGTTATGAAGACGCAGGAACTAAGGCTGGTTATTGGGCAAATAGCTTGAAGGGAGTTTGGGTGAGGGCGGATCTGCGAACCTATTAGCAATTTCCAGTTTGTTTTGTTTTGAGCGTTTCTGATTGGCCCTCGAGCAGTCCCTGAGACCCTGTTCCCCATCCTTGCCGGGTTACCTGGGGGTTTGCTGACTGCAGGGTTAGCAGTGCAAAGCCACCAGCCAACTAACTCCTCGGCTTCGGTTACTGCCCTGCTGTTGTAAAGTAGTCACACATGATCACTTCGCTTTCAGTTTATTTTTTTCCAATGAGAAAAGCTCACGTCAAATATGAAAAATGCAGGACCGAGGAAGGGGGAAGGAACCCCTCCCTTTCTGGAACCGCCCTCCTGGAACCTTTCAGCCCAGACCCTCCCCCCACGGAGGCGGGTTCTTCTCCGGCCCAAGTGCAAAGGCGAGGCTACGTGGCTCTCTAAAAGGGCCCTGGGCCGGGCCTCGGCTCCCAGAGCCGCTTCTTGGGCCCTTGGAACCCTGGAGAAAGGGGTGCAAACAGGCCTTGGCGGTACAGTCGCCCTAAGAGGTGACGCCGTGAGCCCCTGCCGTTTCACACCGTTCCGCACGCCTTGGACGGGCTGTGCCGGAGCGCTGCGATCCGCCGGTATTTCCACATTTTTCCTCGGGCGCCGATTTTTAAAAAGTGTCCTCCCACGATTGGTCCCTAGGAGACGGTTCCTCCCTCAAGGCCCCAGGAAAGGCTGCACTTCATTCATTGGATTGGACAGCCCACTCCCCGCCCTACAGCCCCGCCTCATTTCCGCCGGCCTGCTTGGATCCACAGCCCAGAGATCAAGTGACATTGGGTCAATCTGCTGCCCGAGACCTCTTTAGAGTGTTGAAGAGTAAGGATGTCACTTTGAGGACTACGGTGTCTGCCCCAAAGCGCCTCATATGTATGTGCAAGTTGGACGATGAAGCACGAAGACTGATGGTGTTGTCGAAGAAGACAGCAATACTGGGGATTGCCGGGAGAACAGACACATCTTTCTTGGAAGAAGTAACTGCTCGACTGCTCCTTAGAAGTGAGGATAGTGAGACTTATGTACTTTGTTTTGTTTGGTACATAATTAATATATCATTCAATTTAGTAGTTCAATCGTTCATTCATATCAAGGAGAGTTGTGCAATCATTACCACATCAGTTTTAGAACATTCCCTCATCCCATGGTTAAATCACCTTTAAAATAAGTCGTGCAATCACAATCAGTTTTAGTGCTTCCCCCCCCACCTTCATTATTTACTCCCCAAATCCTCTTCCCCTCCCTATGACACACACTTCTACCCCTGCATCCCCTATAAGCCCCTGTATCATTTGTTATCACCATGTACCCACTCCTGTGCTTCACAAACTGGGAAACCCACAGAAACAATAAAAACTATTGAAATAAGGTAACGATAAAATGGTAATACTATAAAGACAAAAATACAAATAATGGGTAAGAAAGAAAAAAAACCCTGCAAAATGCAGTAGAAAAATTTCAGTCATGGAACAAGGAAGAGATACTTGCACCCAGAACAAGTTCAGGCCGGGTCTTTAGGGAGGTCAACTGACCAAGTGTCCAGTTCAACCCAGCGTAATCAAGGTTACAATGGTCTCTGCTGGATTGTAAGGCTGTTGGAGACTCCAGCTTGTGGCCCAGCAGCTCAGTCTGACTAGATACTCTGCAGATGGGTTTCGAGCTCCCACTGTCTTCCATAGCCCTCCACAAATTGGGTGTTCATCATTTTAGTTCTGATACTTTTCCCTTTGTCATTTTTGAAATTTGTAATTATCATCTTTGAACCACACAAGCTCGTGTGCTTCTTCCATGTGGACTTAGTTCACTCCTTGCTTAGATGGCTGCTTGTTTGACTTACATGCCTTTAAGACCCCAGACACTATTCTGATTGATAACCAGGCGCCATCTGCTTTCTTCACCACACTCTGCAGCACCCTTATCTCCAGTGAGAGAAGTATGTACTCTGGACATGTGTGGGGGGAGGTCAGATGTGCAGGCATTCCCTCCCCTGAGGGCAATCAGTTGCCAGACTGCTGTCTCATCCCTCCACAGGGGTGGGCCTGCTCCCTGCCTCTGGGGACAATGGACAGGCTCCTGTAGGTGGAGTTTTCACCCTACTGATAATGGTTCCTATGGAGACCCAGAGACCACCCCCAAGACCACCCTTCTCATTGCTGTGTAACCTATAGTGCAGCCCCTCCCTGTAACAGCCCCTCCCTGTAACGTATGTCTCTACCTGTAATTAGTGGGCTGGCATGCCCCCAAAAGGTATATAGGTGTGGGTCAGCAATATAGAGCTCTCAGACCTTGCTCTCTGGCTCCCCTCTCTTCCCCCTCTCCCTTGTTCCCTTGCCCTCCTTCCCTTCCCCCTCTCTCCACGTGGACCACCAAGCTGGGCTGAGGTGAGCAATGCTACCATGTAATGTGTCTGACTGCATTATTGTAATATCTCTCATGCTCTCGACTTTAATGCTTACATATCTCAACCGTACAATTGTGCATTACTGAACCCGCGACTAGCGGCGGGGGCTGGCCCCTCACCCTCACCCTCCCAATTTAATTTACTACTACAGACACATTATCAGGAGAGAGCAGTCCCTGGGCAGGGACTTCGTGTTTGGTAGAGGGTCAGTGAGAAAGGAAGATCTTCAAGAAGGTGAATGGGCTCAGTGGCTTCAATGATGGACGCAACCATGGTGAGGCTGGTGCAGGACCGGGCGAGTTAAATCTGACTCTACGGCATCTAACACCAACAACAGAGACTTGTTAGATTTGGTTAAAGGTTATTGTCAAGAATACTTCATAGGTGATGATAAAGCTAGGATTAGAACCCAGGTCTAATTAACTCCAACTCAGACATTTTCAACCACTAAGATTCCACCCCTGTGGAGATAATATTTTGCTAATTTGGGGACGAACAACAGAAACGTGGGTGAAGAGACGGCAGATGGTATAAGATAAAAATAATACTAATTTATAATTTAGCAAGGGTTTGGGAAGGTGGGAGGGGAAAAAAGGAGCTGATACCAAAGGCTCAAGCAGAAAGAAAATGTTTTGAAAATGATGTGCTTGATACAATTGATGTATGGATTGTTATAAGAGCTGTAAGAGCCCCCAATAAAATGATTTATAAAAATAGGTAATTTTTGCCAATTTATAGACTAGTGTATTCTCTTGTGCCTCGTGTGTTATTTTAAGCAGCATGTTTGATGATGATAAGAGAAATCTCGGTTTCTGCTGCAGCCATACTCTAATAGCTCCTCCCACACCCACCCCCCGGGACCCCCTGCTCCTAGTGTTCACATCCTGGTGGCGGTTCCTCCCTTGGGTAATCTGTGCTGGCCTGTGTGTCCAACAGGGTGCCGCGGAGTAATGGCATCTGGTGCGGCCCCTAAGGCCAGGACCTCCTTTTTGCTCTCTTGGATTACTGGCCGTGGAGGAGGCGAGCCACCGTGTCACATGGACGCACAAATGGCTCTGTGGAGAACAGCCTCACCAACTGGAGAGCCATGTGCACACGTCCTGGAAGCAGATGCTGCAGCCCCAGCAGACCTCTGACTGCAACCTCAGGAGGGGGCCCAGCCAGGACCACTCAGTTGAGGCGTGTAAGAATCCCAGCCCCTAGAAACCAGGAGA